AAACGTAACTCCCCCCTTTTTAAACGCCGACATGAACTACTTCTAAGAAATCTTGGCTCATTTGTTTTAATTCTGATAAATTTATTGTAGTCGTCCGCACAGTCACTCAACCATTAGCAACAATATTTTTGTTCCTTTGACAAACCAACAACACTTGATGGACTTCATAACTAATCTGTATTATTTTTCCATGGCATGTTATTCTTATATTGTGTAGCATGGAGGATGTTCTTTGTAGAGTTGTTTTGAGTTGCAAGGAGACCAAGTGAATGAAGTATTAATTCCTTGCAACATGAAAGGGTATCCCAGCTGAATTCAAGAACGAAGCACTGATCCAGAACCCTATGAACCAACTAACCAAACTAAAGGTTGGCTAATTAATCCAAGGGATTTGGACGCAAGAGTGATATTGTATTGTGGACAAAGATGTTGGCTTTCCTCTCCTTTTTTTTCTTGGTTAAAATTACTTTCCATACAGCTACAATTTGTTCTTCATATGTTCAATTCACTGTTTTTGGACATATTTCTATTTTGAGAACCTTGCAAAGATTAATAGCGTTGTGTGTGTTGCTCCTTTACCTGATGGTTCTCAGTTAATGTAGGAAACCAAGATAAAAAGGAGAGACGAGGGTCGGTAGCTGCCATGATTCTTTGCTGCAGACTTCTGAGGAAGAGCGATGACATAAATCTCAATTTTGGAAATTGAAGTTCTATTCTTTCCACTGCATAAAAAGGATCTACTTATAATACTAAAGTTAAATTCAAGTTAGTAACTAAATGCAATAAGCAGAATATAATATCACCAAAAATTTGAAGAGATAACAACTTATCATAGGCTCTAGGTAACTAATCCTTGAATACAAGGATTAGCAAATTTTAATATATCGACTAGGAGAAGGATAAGAATGGAGAAACATCAAGTTCAATCCTAAATGTGCTTAATGCACTAATGGACTCGTTCTCAAGTCCAACAACTTCGCCTTTAGGGGACTAGCTTTTTCTTCCCAAGCTGGCTGCTAAGGACCTATTTGTATTTTATTTTTAGTCATCAGATTGGCAAGTTCCTCCTTTTGTCTTCATTCACTTCTGCAAATAGAAGATAGGGCAAGAGTCAAACTTCTTTCCTTCAAATACAACATGTTTTATCTTGGAGTCTATTCCTTTCTAGTGATCTTGAAATTCTCCTTTAGCCTGCCTAGTGTCGAGTTATTTTTCATATTACTAATTTAGTCCTGCAATGGGCCTTTAAGGTTGATGTTGAGATCCTCAATTATATGATTTACCCTTCACTGTTGCTTTTTTTCATTCAGTAGTTACTGTTCAAATAGCTTATGTTCTCTAAATTCATAACTGAGTAAATTTTCATGTTGGAAGGTAGTTCAAATTGAATATGATTTCATATCTTATTTGGATCTAATGTCGTCTTATGTAGGAGAAGCAATAGAAAGAGTAACAGTTCTGAAAAGTGTGCAAGGTATACTGTCTTTTACTAGTTTGAATTGTTGTCATAGTTGGCTGTAGATTGCGTCATGCTCTAAGGGTAAGAGTTACCAAAGATCACATGACAAATATAAAAAGGCATGACCTTACAAGTAACCATATCCGTGGGATCACTCCTTTATTGGAAAATTGAAGGTGCACTTTTTGTTTACCTTATGCTCCACATATTATGAGCCAACCTAAGGAATATGGATTTGGATGGGTTGTGATTGCCAACTTCAATCTATTGAATAGTTCCTTAGTAATGAAATCATTTTGACTTTCAAATATAGAAGAAATTAGAATCATCTCGATGTTGTGCGCTTTTTGAGACGCTTTTCTTTGGCCACATATGCATGCTATAGGAACTGAATTTTGCTTTCCTTTTCTTCTAGACTGCTTCTAGAGTTTTCCTTGATGCTTTAGAACCTGTATTAGCTGCTGTTCTTGTTCTTCATTTGGTTGTTCTTGGTGTTTTTTCTAATCAAAGTGCTGTAAGTGCTCTTTTGGGCATGTTGATTGCAGTTTTTCCTTGCTATGCTAAGGGTGCAATATGGAAGTGTGCAAAGGGCTCATTGGCTTCCATGTTGGCTTTATCCTTTTCTTTTGATAATTTCTATACATTTGCCTTTTTGATGGCTTACCATTAACCATCTAAGTGAGCGTGGGATTCACTTGTTGTACTTTACCAATTTGCACTTCTACATTTGCTACCGTGGCCTACTTTGTCTTCATCTTTTGGTAATAATTAGGGATGGAATCAACATCCATAATTGATTTGCTGTGTGTTTTAATATTGCACGAGTTGGCAATGTGTTTTAATTGTTTTTGATTGTCTTGATTACCATTTTCTCCTTTCTCCTTGGATATGATGTTATACTTCGAATGTTTCTACTTCTTGTCTTAAGTTCTTAGCTGGATTTTGAGTTTTATAGCCATCATCTTGACCTAAATTTCATCAATCAAGGTTATACTGGAGCAACTTCAATTCCTGATGAAGGTTATAATGCATACTTACCTTAAACTTTATCAGCATTGATGTTTCTTCTACAACTATGTCTTGGGAAGCATGCTTTGGAATTAAACAATCTAGTCCCTTTACAAATTACTTGAATTCTTGTCTCAACTTTTTCTACAAGATCCATTTCTCTCGTTTTTGGATGATGGTGTAAAAATTTTCTTTTTGAATGTGCTCTAAGTTATCCCAGTGAGATTTTGGCTCCTAGTCATATGCTTCATCATTGAAGGGTTTAATTAGATAGATTCAATTGGGTGAAATTATCTTTTGGATATAACAGCACCTACAAGTAGAAAGTCATGATAATATAGCAATGAAATTGGAGAAGAGAAAGTGTCACTATTATGAAGTTTATTGTGAAGGACGAGGGTTGGTTGTAGCTTTTTATTGATATAATCATTTTATAGTTTGAGGATAGAAGTAATTCAATCTTTGGCAATACATTTATCGTTGTATTTGTGAGTTATTAAATTGTGTTTTTTTTCTCCTTGTTTCTCTTTGATAAATATTTGGCTCAAGTCTTTTTATATTTTACCTCTAATGTTGTTGGCTTGTTTCAGGAGTCAAGAAAGAGGAAGAGCATGCCATTAATCCAAGGTTCTCAAGTACCATCTGTTAGTGTACTTCTTCATTAATTGATATTCTGATCTGTTAGAAAATACGGAGATTAATTCCATCTAGTTACATAGCCCCTTTTCTATATAAGTTAGTATCAAGCTTTGATTTTTGCTTGTTTTATTGACATTGAGATTAAATCCCACAATAGACTCATAATTATTTGTATGTGGCCAATTTAGTTTCAGAGTATCACATTTCGCCAATTTAGTTTATTGGCTATATAAAAATGATCTAAAACTAACTATCATCTATAATTTATGATATAAAATTAATCTCAATTTTGTCTTGTTTAACAAAATAGATCCCAACTAGTCTTTGAGGGACTATTCTGGACAATTTTGTATAGTAAATTTGAGGAATGTGTTTTTTGGTATTAAATTGCCATATATATATAATTAGGAGATTATTTTGGAATTTAATTCTACCCATTCACATTGTGAGGAATATTATGGCTTTTACTTCATAGTAAGTGCATATTCTAGTGACTTCTATGCATACAATCTCTGTTTGTGAGTTATCATGTTTTAAATTTGCAAATCTAGAAGCTTGCCACGTAAACTAGATCAAGAAAGTAAACTCTTTAATACTCTATCCTGATTCTCATTGATTTTATGACTTATAACTTGCTTAGACATATTCAAGTTTTTGTTCTCTTTATGCTGTGGTTATTCTTTTCTATCTTTTATATCTATTTTTTCTTATTATAGGTTATTTGGAGAAGTTTCTATGTGGTTATTCTTTTCTAACCATTTAAGCTTTGCTTTGGGACCAATACATCTAACTAAAGAACTAGTTTTGTATTTCTATTTTATACAATGCCAAATGACGGATCCTTTTGCCGTAAGCTTCTCAAATGACGGATCGTTTTGTATTTCTATTTTAATTTGTTGGATCCCAAATTTTTATTAGAGGATCAAAAATTCAAAAGCCATGGGTCAATGGGCAGGTACAAATTTGTTTGAATTTTCTTCTTTTTAAAATTAGTTTAAAAATTTTGACAAAAAGAAAATTGAACCTAATTTTTTCTAGAATTTCTACGAAGTTGGATGTCTTAAGATAATGGTGTTATATGTGGAAGCAAAAAAATGTCACAGTCAATGTGGTTGGTAAATAAATGATTTGGATGAGAAATTTCTTGAAGGAGTTGAGAATAGAACATGGTAGATAAAATTTATTTGTGTGCTCTTGAAAGAGTTGAAAGCGAACATCTTAGATTATATTTTGTGTGTCATAAACCTCTATACATCTAGTTAAGAATATAAAATTTCATTTTCAGACAATATATATTTAGCTAAATTATTGTTTTATCTGAGGCTTATTAGAAGAGTGTCTTAATTGAGCATAGTATAAGGAACTGTGAACCCATCTAATATGCATATAAAAATAGTTATATTTTATTGGAAGTTTTGCAAAGCATCAGTTAATCTCGATGAATTATTGAGAAGAGAAGCCATAAAAAGTTAACTTTTATAAATTAATTCATAAAAGGAAATGATCTCAACATGGGAGATTGTTTATTTGGTGGAGCTCAAATTTTTTTGAGTTAAGCACATGATTCAAAACAGATTTTTTATGGATTAATACAAAAATATCTAATTTTTTTTAAGAATCACAAGTTTGTTACAAAATCTGTTATCATGGATTAAATTTAAGTTAAGTTATAAAACTAATTTTTGTTTTGAATTTTTACCTCATTAACTCCTCTTGGAGGCTTGATATTTTCTTACTTATGTTGGATTATATCAGGGATCGACTTTAAGCCCATATCTTTTTGCTTTAGTTATGGATGCTCTTACTGGACATTTACAAGAGGATGCACCTTGGTGTATGCCTTTTGCTGATGATATCCTTCTCGTGGATAAGATTAGAGAGAAAACTCAGGAAAAACTTGAATTATGGAGGTCCATATTGAAGTCTAAAGGCTTTCATTTGAGTAGAACTAAAATTGAATACATGGAATTTAATTTTAGTAGTAGTAGCTCTAGTGACAAAATTGTAACTATGGGTGATCAAATTATTAAAATGTGTGAACGCTTTAGTTATCTCGGGTCTATTGTTCAAAGTGATGGTGATATAGATGGGGATGTTATTAGTCACAATTATGATTGCATTCGCAGATGATATCCTGATATATTCTATAGATGAAGTTGGTCATAAAGGTCTTCTGCATGTTGTTTTGTAGGTTTTGAAAGAGAACAAACCGTATGCTAAATTTTTCTAATGGGAATTTCGACATACAAGTATAGCTTTTCTTGGCAATATTATCAGTGGAGATGATATATCTGTTGATCAGAATAAGATCAAGGCTATTGTAGATTGGCCAAAACCAACTATTGTTATTGAGGTCAGGAATTTTCTAGGTATGACTAGTTGTTACAGGAGATTTGTATAGAGATTTTTATAGATTGCTTTGTCATTATCCAAATTGACTCAAAAGATAGTGAAATTTGATTGAACTGATCGTTGTGAGGAGGGTTTTAGAAGCTAAAATCTTAATGTTTGTTCTAGTATTGACTATTCTTTCATATTCAAATGAATTTCAAATTTATAGTGAGGCCTCATTAAAAGGATTGGGTTGTGTGCGCATTCAACATGGAAGGGTTATTACCTATGTTTCAAAGCAATCGAAGAATCATGAAATAAATTATCCTACACATGGTTTGGAGCTTGCAGTAGCTTTGTTTGTACTTAAGATATGAAGACGCTATTTGTATAGAGTCAGTTGTGAGATATTTACTTATTGTTAGAGTTTGAAGTACATCTTTACTCAGAAAGAGCTGAATCTGAGGTAGAGGAGGTAGTTGAGGTTTATTAAAGATTATGATTTGAATATTTAGTATCATATGGGGAAGACAAATGTAGTTATTGATGTGCTGAGTAGGAAGGCTCTTGATAGTTCAAGTTGGTTGATTACTTAGCAAGAGCAACTAATCATAAATATAGTAAGACTTGAGTTGCTAGTGATTGACTATAGCAATGAGAATATAATTCAGTTCAATTAGCTAACTATTCAATCTATTTTAAAAGACAAAATCAGAGATTCGTTAGCCATAGAAAGCAGCGTTCAGAAAATCTCAGAGAATGTTAAGACTGGTTTGGATAAATTTATGATGGATGAAGATTGTGTTTTAAAATATAAAGACAAGGTTTATGTTCCAGATGTTAATGAATTGAAGGAGAATCTAGAGGAAGCATGTTTGTCTGGTTATACTATTTGCCCAATGAGTAATAAAATGTATCAATAGCTTAAAAAAAAATATTTTAGTAGCCCAAATTGAAGAGGAATGTCACAAAATTTATGTTTAGATGTCTTACATGTTAGCTGGTGATGACAAAACATAGTGCCTTGGAGGCTAGTTACATCTATGGATTTTTGATTGGATTGCCTAAGTTGCGATAGAGTCTTGTTGCTATTTGGTTAATTGTTGACATATTGACTAAGTCTGCTCATTTTTGCCTATTGCAAAGACAAATCCCATTGAGAGGTTAGCCAAATTATATGTGGATCAAATTATAAGGTCGCATGGAGTGTCAAAATCTATTATTTCAGACAGATGTGATTTAATTATAGATATTGGAAGAATCAAGAGGTTTTGAGCACACGATTGACTTTTAGTACAACCTTTCACTCTGAAATAGTTGGCCAGTCAGAAAGGATTATTCAAAATTTGGAGGATCTATTAATGTTATGTTTCTTTGACTTTGATGGAGGACAGATAATACATAATTTTTTAATAGAATTTGCTTACAAATAACAATTACCAGACTAGTATTGGGATGACTCTATATAAAGCTTTATATGGAAGAAAGCGCATGACACCTTTATGTTGTGTAAGAAAAAACAAAAAAAAAAGAGCTGACTTTGTTGGCAATGCTACTGAGAAGATTAGACTGATCACAGTTAAACTATTGGTAGTGCAAAATATGTAGAGAAAATATTCTGATGTCAAGCATAGACCTGTTGAGTTTTAGCTTGGAGTGTTTGTTTTTATCAATTTAGTCCTTTAAAGTGTGTGCAAAGATTTAGAAAGATAGAAAAATTAAGCCCAAGATATATATAGGTCCATATGAGATTGTGGAGATGATTGGAAAATTGGCTTATAGATTGGTTTTACCTGCTCATATGCAGAGAGTACATAATGTCTTTCATGTATAATTTCTTAGGAAGTATATTGCAGAAGAGTCTAATGGAATTACTGTAGATTTAGTGGAGATACAACTTAATTTGTCCTATATGGAAGAACATAGAAGGATTTTGGATTATGATTTTAAGAAGTTTCGTAATAGGAAAATTTCATTTGTGAATATTTTATGAAAGTATGGATCGAAGAAGGAAGTTCACCTAAGAGAATGTTTCAGATATACAAAAAAAATATCCCTAACTCTTCAGTTAAGGTATCTTTACTTTTATATTAATCATTTCAAATTTGGGACACAAATTTTTATGAGGGGACATTATAATAACTGAAATTTTAATAATATAATAGTAATAATAATGTTAGAAGTTATTAGTATTGATTTATGTCAGTTTTATGCTATTTCCTATTTTATATTAGAAGTTATTAGTATTTATTTATTTCCTTTATGGTTATTTCTTATATTATATATTTTTTATTTTATGTCTATTTTTTATGTTCAGGTAGTTATTATGAATTGATTAATTGTAGTCTTGGAGATATGGGTGTTATGTTTCTCTTATTTTAGATTTCATGTAACTTGTATTTATACCCTCTTTCATATTAATAAAAAAATCCACTAAATTCTCAAAACCTACATGATATCAGAGCCTTGAAATACTAGAGTTTTCGATGGAGGAAAAGATCTCTTGTGCCGGGAACTTCCTATTCCTCGCAACCGACAATCTTTTCTTTGTTATAGGCCCCTCCTTTGCCTCTCTCCCTCTCTCCCTCCACGACCTAGTCATTGGAATTCTTTGCCGCAACTAGTCGTCGGAACTTCTCTCCCTTGCAGTCTACTAGTCATCATAACTCTCTCA